ACCCATCAGGACACTCAGCAACTTCTGCACTCTGGAGTTGACCCCCACAATTCGATACAGCCCTTGCTCGTTGATCCCTGAGGAAAGAAACAGTGATGATTTAATTAGAGACACGTCAGAACACAAATCAGGCCAATCCAGCCAAGTGTACTTTTTTTTTTCATTTTCTCAGTCCTCCTAAAAGCTGCTCTAATTAAAGTCCCCTGTCACTCAGCTCAGCTCTTAGCAAAGGAGTGGGATTTGGTACAGCTGTCTAGGATTTCACGGATGTGCTGCACACTTCAGCCCTCATGTTAGTTCAGTCATCAGAGGCGAAAGCAACTTTCCTTTTCTCTTGCCAAAGGCAGCATCTGAAGAGTTCTAAAAGACGCAAAATGTACACTTTTAAATATGTCATATTTAACCAGTTTTTAAAATTAAAATGCCAAAAATGACATGATTAAAAATCCATAAAACAGAAAAAGACACTTTATAACCTATTTTTACATATAAAATAAAAATATTGAAGTGTAAGACCGTTTTTAATTTTAAGGAATGTTAGCCAAGACTGAGAAATTAGAAGATCCAGTCATTTGTAATATAAATATTCTTTATCAAAAAAAGACCACCTTTATTTCATTCAACTGTACAATTAGACTAGTAAGGGTTTACTTTTAAATTAAACATCTAAACAAAGAATCAAAAACAGCCTAATTTTTGTATTTTTAGTAGAGATGGGGTTTCACCATGTTAGCCAGGCTGCTCTCGACCTCCTGACCTCAGGTAATCCACCTGTCTCAGCTCCCAAAGTACTGGGATTATAGGCGTGAGCCACCATGCCTGACCAGCCATATTTTCAATAACCAAAACATACTACTCCACTTTTGAGAGCCCTGGACAGATAAACCAAATCTTACACAGTACCTGGCACATAATAAGCATCCAATGAATTTATAATAAAGAAATAGTTAATGAAAGGTTCACTTGGCCCAGCCATCTCAGGGGAAGGTTTTGGAGCACGGGTGCCATGTTTATTTTATACTCTTGGCTAGCCCAGAAACTACCAGTACCAAGAATTGATGAAGTTGAGGGCATGTTCACAAAAGAGAAGATGAAGCTCCTCCTTCAGGTCTGGAGCCCTGGTGATTCTGTAACTGAGAGATTCAAACTTACTTTTTTTTTTTTTTTGTATTCAAACTTACTTAACTGCTAGGGAGAATCATGTATACCATTCTCAACTTTCAATTAGATGTTGCACCGTGGTCATCTCGCAGCTCTGGTTGGATCTCAGATTAGATTCCAGTCTATCTGTAATGTCCTCCTGGCAGAGGCAGCTGCCCTCGTGACTTTCAGCTGCTAGTTATTACTTTTTCATGACATTTCTCAAATGTTCATGATTATTTTCTCTATCCCCAGGAAAACCAAGGAAGAGAACAAGACAAATATCTTGTGTGAAGGCCACTAAGAAAAGTGATAAAAACAAGATCCTTTCATAACCACTCTTTTGCTTAACACAACTGAGCTAAAGTGGTTCTTTTTTAGATTAGCAAAGCAGTCTAAAATGTCATATTTCTTTTCATTAGTGTCATCTTACATAATAATCTGTCATCTTTGAAATCTCTCTGCCCCTTCTGTTCCCCCATATCAAGTTGGTTAAAAGTCCTGTTGATTCTCTCTCTATACTCATTTTGAGTCTGTCCTTTTTCCCTGACTTCAGAGCACCTGGTTCAGTCTTTGATAGGGTTTGCCTTACCTAATCTATTACAACCATCTTCCGCCTCCATGTCTTTCCATAATCAAATACATGCTCCACACTGTAGCCAAGATTATGCTCCTAATGCTAGAATCTGATATTGTTACATCTGCATTAGATAGACTTTTTTTAAAAAAGCTACCCGCAGCCATTAGTTCAGGAAAGCACTCCTCCATCATCCTATCAATAATCCTGTTCAGTCGATTGGCTTTCAGGGACTAACCCCGTCCCCACCCCAACCCTCCACCCCGTCCCCCATATCCCCAAACACAGGCAGAGGATCCAGGCCATCTGTTGTGGGCCATGTGACTGGTCTGAGATTGAGAAATGAATCATGTGAATGGCCACATACTGGCCAAGCAAAGTCCTCACTGGAGCCTTCTGCCAACATGGCCAAGAAAGGCACTCTCTTCTCAGTGACCACAGGCTCCAAGGACTGCAGAGGCTGAACCTGTCTGGTACACTCCCTCGGAGAACAAAGCCACACCAAGCCCAAAAGAGGTCAGAGAACATGAGAAGCCAGAAGAAGGAAGGGGCAAAGGATCTAGCAAAAGTAAAGACATCATTGGCATCCCTGACTCTGCCATGTTTCTGTCTTGGATTCACCAGTTATGTGAGCAAATAAATGCTTTTTTTTCCTTGTAAACTATTCTGAATTGTCTTCTTGACACTTTTGTGTGTAAAAGCATCATAATGGATATAATCCCACCATTTAGAACTTTTAATAGTTTCTTACTTCCTGTAGAAAAAACCCCAAACACCTTGGCTCAATATTCAAGTTCCTCAACAAAAGAGACCACCTTAGCTATTCAACTTCAAAATTGATCCTGTCCCAGCCTCAAGAAAGGTCTGCAGAATTTTTTTTTTTTTTTTTTTTAAGATGGAGCCTCACTCTGTCACCCAGGCTGGAGTGCGTGTCGTGACCTTGGTTCACTGCCCAGCTCCACCTCCGCGGTTCACGCCATTTCTCCTGCCTCAAACCTCCAGAGCACAGGGACTACAGGCGCCTGCCACCACTCCCGGGTAATTTTTTATATTTTGTATAAGAGAATGGTTCACCGTGTTAGTGAGGATGGTCTCGATCTCCTGACCTCGTGATCTGCCCGCCTTGGCCTCCCAAAGTGCTGGGATTGCAGGCGTGAGCCACCGCGCCCGGCCTGTCTTTCAGAAATATTAAAATAATAATCATAGAATCAATACCCTTTGCTGTAGCCACCATAGACCCTTTGTTCAGAATACTTCCTGAATTGGAATTATTCTTCTACTCTCTCCTTCACTACACTACTCAATCTTCTAGACCCAGCACATATTAAGCACGAATATCATACTTTACATTACAGCTTTCATACACACACATATTTCACCCTATCAGGACTCCTTACAGAAAAGGAACAGCTCTTTCTAAAGTTTAATCTCTAGTACCTGACAACCTGACATCTGTTCTAAACAGCAGACACCCCACAAATGTTTGCAGCTCTGGTCAGAAATGAAAAACTAAGGATTGACAGATACTAGACTCTTAATTCTTCTTTATATTAGTATTTCTCAAAAATTAAGCCTATCACCATACAACCCAGTAACTGCACACTCGGACATTTATCCCAGAGGAACAAATATACGCTCACACAGGAACCATATATGAAAATTTACAGAAGCTTTATCATAATTGCCCCAAACTGGAAACAACTCAGATGCCCTTCAATAAATGAATGGTTCAACGAAGTGCAGTATATCCATACAATGGACTATTACTCAGCAATACAAAAGAACTATTAATACATGGAACAGCAAAAATAAACCTTGAGAAAATTACAGATTGAAAAACAATGCCAATCCCAAAACGTTCTGCATTGTATAATTCCATTTAAATAATAATCTTGAAATGACAAAATTATAGAAATAGGGAATAGATTACTGATTGCCAGGGGTCAGACACAGGGTGCAAGGTGGGAAGTGAGGTACGTGCTTGTACAACATCACAAGGAATCCTTTTAGTGATGGAAATGTTCTGCCTCTTGACTAAATTAATGCCCATATTTTGGTTGTGATATTAAAATTGTGTTTTGCAAGATGTTACACCTTTAGAGAAGACTGGGTAAGTGGTACACAGGATTTCTATATTATTTCTTACAGCCGCATGTAAATCTACAATTATCTCAAAATGAAAAGTTTAATTTTTATAAAAACTAACCATATATCAAATCTTAAACAAACAAACAAAAAAAACCCAGATACTCGTTGCTAGAGCACCTCACAAATAATCATAGTTTCAAACAACAGATCTCACACTAATTAGCAATACAATAGGGTTTTGGTTACAAGAAGTGAATGACTCTCTCTAAAAGAGGTGAAGACAGTCATTCTGGCCAACATGACAGAAGAGATTTCTTTACATAAGAAAGCTATTTTTAGAAAGTGGGATGGCAAAATAAATTACAAATGCTAACACAAGAACTGTCCCTGTCCAAAACACTGAGCTGGGTACCCCAAGTGATAGTCCATCTCTACAAGCTAGGGCTTCCATGGGGAGGAATAACAGCCTCTGTGAAATCTGATCTGTTTGCCATTTAGATCCATGTGACTCATGGAGGCTGGCTGCACTCATATCTAAAAATACAGGAAATCTGCAGCCTAAGCAAATTTGGCTCATGGACTCATGGGCTTTTGATTCAAATACTGCACATTTGGAGTCAGTGGTTTTATATTTGTATCAGCCAGTGGCAAACGGGGTTCTGCTGCTCAAGTGACAAGTATTCAGTGGAAATCTAGAAGCAAAGAGGATCAGAAGATTTATCTGCTTATATACATTTTATCTGAGAGTTACATGACACCTGCTCAGTATCAGGAACATGAACTCTGAGGTCCTCTGGAGCCCAGAATGATGCCTTTCCTTGGGCAGTGGGTGTGTCCCACTAAATACCTGCCCCAAAAGAGAATGGAGGGAGTCATGAGCTATTAAAGACAGAGTAGGGTGTGGCAGTCACATGAGTGACAAGTACCACTTGGACCAGAAGCGCTGAACCTACAGACAGAGAGGGTGTGGTGTCTGGGCCCTGGCATTTTTTATTTTGTCCAGTCCTACTCAGAACCTTTCCCAGCAGCGCCTGAAGCCATGACAACTGACTGATGAGGCAGCTGACTTCTGGGTGACAGCTCATGGATACCCTGATTCCTTTGCCACAGACTGTATCTACTCACAGACCTGGTGACTTCTCAGAGTGGGCCCCCCACCCAGGGACCGGCCTAGCAGAGCCACTGCCGCACTCACCCATCAGGACACTCAGCAACTTCTGCACTCTGGAGTTGACCCCCACAATTCGATACAGCCCTTGCTCGTTGATCCCTGAGGAAAGAAACAGTGATGATTTAATTAGAGACACGTCAGAACACAAATCAGGCCAATCCAGCCAAGTGTACTTTTTTTTTTCATTTTCTCAGTCCTCCTAAAAGCTGCTCTAATTAAAGTCCCCTGTCACTCAGCTCAGCTCTTAGCAAAGGAGTGGGATTTGGTACAGCTGTCTAGGATTTCACGGATGTGCTGCACACTTCAGCCCTCATGTTAGTTCAGTCATCAGAGGCGAAAGCAACTTTCCTTTTCTCTTGCCAAAGGCAGCATCTGAAGAGTTCTAAAAGACGCAAAATGTACACTTTTAAATATGTCATATTTAACCAGTTTTTAAAATTAAAATGCCAAAAATGACATGATTAAAAATCCATAAAACAGAAAAAGACACTTTATAACCTATTTTTACATATAAAATAAAAATATTGAAGTGTAAGACCGTTTTTAATTTTAAGGAATGTTAGCCAAGACTGAGAAATTAGAAGATCCAGTCATTTGTAATATAAATATTCTTTATCAAAAAAAGACCACCTTTATTTCATTCAACTGTACAATTAGACTAGTAAGGGTTTACTTTTAAATTAAACATCTAAACAAAGAATCAAAAACCAATCCACTGCAGTGTTTCTGTTCATTTAAATACATGGATTAGATCACCACTGTACCACCTACGAAAGAAGGCAATTTAGACCAGGTGACTTGAAACAATTTTTCTTCTGTTAGTCCCAGGCCCATCATATCTGACCCCTCTCAAGTAGCAGAGCTCCAGCTTCATATTTTATTCCTCTGATGTCCATTCTTCAACCAGCAGCCAAAGTGAACTGTCTAAAGTGCAAATTAGTTCATATCACCTCTTCTCTTAAAACTCTCCAGTAGCTTCCCATTGCATTTAGACCATAACCAAAACTACTTGGGATGGCCTGTAAGGCCTATACTATTGAGCACTGACTACCTCTGGTTGAATCAAGGACCACATGCATTCTGCTCCACACAGTGGCCTTCCTGTCACCTCAATGTGCCAAGCTCATGGCCCCACCTCATAGCCTTTGCTACAGCTGTTTCCTCTACCAGGACTGCTCTTCTCCCAGAGCTCTTCATCATTCAGATCTCAGCTTCAATGCAACCGCTTCAATCTAATGCAACCCACAATCAATACCACTGGTCATTCCCTTACCCTGATTTCTTTCTTTATAGCAGTTAACAATATCTGAAATTATCTTTTTTATTTGATTCTTTACTTGTTTTTTCTGTTACATTCTCAATAGAATGTAAACAGTAATTGCGTCCTGTTCACCATTATATCCTCAGCCCCTGGATCAGTCTATGGTACAGAATAATAAACAAAACACTGAGTTTATACTCCATCAAGACCAGTATAAAATACTTAGGGGCCAAAACACAATCTTTCAGAAGAAATTCAGGAAAGGACCAACTCTGCAGTACTTTCAACAATACCTATGTAGACATGGAACTAACGAATAAAAAAAGAAGTGGTCTGGAATGATAGGATTTTACAGCTAAAGAGGACCTGTAAACTCATGTACATCATTCTGGATGATTCATGGACTAGGAGGCCCTGGTCAAAACCTAAGTGATGGGTCCCAAGTTACTCAGTGTCAGAAACTTGATTCAGTAACATGTCAGCTCGGGAGCTTGAAAAGTCTTAAGTTAAGTGTCTCTACTTCTATCCTTGTGTTTTTCTGGAACTTTACACAATCCCACCTCCCGCTGGACAACTGTCAAATCCCAGAGAGTATGGAAAGTCTGTTCATCTCTGGTCACCATAAATACGTACTCACATACACACACTGCAATAGGGAGATACCCACTTTTTTCAACTACTTATGCTAAAATGGCACCTAACTCATACTGTCCTTATATCTTCTTTGTGCTCAATGAAGACTTTCTTAGAAGTTAAAATACATCATTTCCATTTTCATTTTAGAGGAGGAAGAGGAACTTGTATACCTCTTCCCCTACTTATTGTATTTATTTTGTAGTTTTACATCAGAAAAATTTGTCCTCCTGAGCTACCAGTTTGCATTTACTGCAGACTCTGTGAACAGTTTTAAATGATTAGGTTTCTTTCTTGATTTTGGCTGCTAAAATCTGAGAGATGAACAGGTGGCCCAGCTCAAGTAAGCATATGAACTTTACTGGGGAAAAGAGATTTTTTTTTTAGATTCGCTTTTGGCTCCATTTTTGCGCCTCTACCTTTAAAACCTGTACATTTTATTCTCGGTCTTTTCTTTTAAAATTAAAAAAAAAAAATTAAAACCTCTGTTGAAAATTAGGCTGTGCACAGTGGCTCATGCCTGTAACGTCAGCACTTTGGGAGGCCAAGGCAGGCAGATCACTTGAGGTCAGGAGTTCAAGACCAGCCTGGCCAACATGGTAAAACCAGCTGGGCATGGTGGCGGGCACCTGTAATGCCAGTTACTCAGGAGGCTGAGGTAGGAGAATGGTTTGAATCTGGGAGGCCAAGGTTGCAGTGAGTGGAGATTGAGCCACTGCACTCCAGCCTAAGCAACAGAGCAAGACTTTGTCTCAAAAGAAAAAAGAAAAAAGAAAAATTACCTTAGTAATGAACACTTCAAAAAAATTTAGAAACTACAGGTAAGGTAAATAGATGAGCCAAAGTGAGACAGTAAAAATCAGCAGAGAGCCAGTGAGAACACAACGAAACCTGTACAATACGACTGTTCCTCTCCCCACTGCTCCCAGAACGGGCTCATACTGAGCAGCTGCTTTGTAACTTGCATTTTTCACATATTATAAATAATTTTTTAAATGCTGTATGTCTGTAATTCCAGCACTTTGGGAGACCGAGGTGGGCAGATCACAAGGTCAGGAGATCAAGACCATCCTGGCCAACATGGTGAAACCCCGTCTCCACTAAAAATATAAAAACTTAGCTGGGCGTGGTGGCGTGTGCCTGTAATCCCAGCTACCCAGGAGGCTGAGGCAGGAGAATCCTTTGAACCAGGGAGTCGGAGGTTGCAGTGAGCCGAGATGACGTCACTGCACTCCAGCCTGGGAACAGAACGAGACTCTGTCTTAAAAAAAAAAAAAAAAAGCTGTATGTCAAAAAATGTATTTCCATTGCATTGTTAGTGATTCAGTTTTTTACTACACAGACATACCATTGTTGATTTAACCCATTTTTTAGACATTTGGCCAGTTCACAATTTTGTACCTTAACATCGCCACTGTGTAAACATCCTTATTGCTCAATCTGGCCCATATCCTTATTTCCTCAAGACCAATTCCCAGAAATGTCACCTACTTCTACTTTATATTCTCTGGATATATCTTACCTTTACAAGCTGCCTTAAGTCTTTGTTTAAGGGAGGTACGGGAGAAATAACTGAACATTTTAAAAAATGTTTCCATACATTACAACTGTTTTGGAAAAAATATCTTTTGACAGTATACATAAGGGTAGGTTTTTAAAATCTCTCTCTTCCCTTTACTTAATGCCTCACAGTCCTTATGAAAAAAAAACTGTGCATTTCTCAACTGGTAAGTTATGAGTCCTGCTTTAAAAGAGAGAATTTCTTTCCACTACTTAAAAAGGGCTGGTAGGCTAAGAGGCTATAGAGTAAATGAGATTCACGTCTCTGACAATGGTTCAAATCAAATCCAGTGGAAACATGGTTAATAGCTTTTCTCAGTGGTACAACAGACCAGCAAACTCAAAGCTCCAAACTGCTGGGACTGAGGAATCTCCTTTGTGGCAGTCTCTGAAGAAGGGATGGAGACCATCAGGATGAACCAGCTTCCTTGATCTTAATGTCTGCTCCCACAGACCTGGGAAAGATCAGTGTGAACACTGATCTTCTCTCTACCTGGGTGGTCCCCAGGGACTAGCTCCCAAGGACATCTTGGGTTCACAGACCCCAAGATGTCTGCCAGAGAAAATTCAGGGTGTCTATGAACTTAGACAGGAAAACAATTACATCTTTATCTTCACTAACCTACAACTGCCATTAAGCATTTCCTTCCTTTATGGATGGAAGCAACAAATCACAGGAGCATTAGCAGTACCTGCAACTTGGTCAGAAATCACAGGCATTTCCATAACACATTACAATTATTATGGATATCTTGAAATATCACTGCTCCCAAATTATGTCGGTTATCAGACCCACCACTGTCGCTTACAAACTGTTAACAAAGAAACACATATCATGATACCCTGTGTTTTTTAATATTTTAAAAACTGAATTCCAGTAACTGGTTTCTATAATCCTATGTATTTTAGATATTTAACACATTCTTCTGATCAGCCAAAGAAGTTGGTGACACAAAATCAGTTAGGACCTCCTGCTTGAGACGAACAGAACTTGTGGAAATCCACTGACAATGGCACTTGGGGAGCTAATGAGTCACTTAAAGTCAGGAAACAGCAGGTAGCAGGTCTGACTCCTCACCAGATGCATGACCTTCTATGAGAACAATGCCATCTGTTAAACTACTTTACCTCTGGTTTCCACAGCATGGATGCATTTCCTGATTATGCTGAAGCCAATGCTGTCCAACTGCGCAGCTGAAAGTGCAAGAGAAGGGCAGTTAAGTTGCTAGCCATGGAAATCAACCTCAGGATAGGGCTTAACCAATCCAGGATGAATCAATCGCATGCTGTGGTCACACATCCTTTTAATGTTTCCCAATAACAGTACAGGAATAACATCATAATAATAATAGCTGGCACTGACAGCTTTCCATACGCTAGGTATGGTTTTAAGTGCTTTGCATGTATTATCTCATTTAGTTCTCATAGTAACCTCAAGTTGTAGTAACCTGTAAAATTATCTTCAATTTATAGGTGAAGAAACTGCAGCATAGGGTGATAGGTACCTTTACATTGTTTTGCTATTAACAGAAGCTGTAGAACTAATTACGGTCTCCTTCAAAAAGCACAAATTAAGTGCTCTATAAATGTTGGGTAAGTGCTTAAAATAGATTATCTCACTTGATTCCAGTAAGTCCTCCACACTGACATTATCATCAGCCCATATTACAGATGAAGAAACTGAGGCTTGGTAAAACTAAATATCTTGACCAAAGATGCAGAGCCAATACATGGAGAACTGCGCTAGAGCCCATACCATCAAACTGCCTTAAATGTGGCCCTGAGTTTAGTATAATTCTGCTCAGGTGACTAGAAGAAAGGAAAAATAGAACAAAGAAAAAAAGAAGAAAAATGATTCAGAGGAAAATTAAAATAGCCAAGAACAAAGACACTACCTAAGGAAGCAGCACGAAGGCAGTGGGGCCATCCTCCAGGGGGAAATAAGTAAGTGGCAACAGGGTTCTCACTCAGAAAATAAATGATCAACAGCAGCAGCTTCTTCCACAGAAGAGAACCAGACAAGGCTAGAAACTTCTAACATGACAACAAGGCTGGAAATTCCCTAAAATTCACCCCCATGTTTTGGTGACCCAGTGATAATCTTTAAGAATGGGTTCATCTTTGACCTTCTTAGGACAGTGGGACAAGACATTCTACCACTTAACGGTCAGAGTGGAAAAGAAAATGGCAGAAAGTAGAAAAGCAAGTATTTATAGATGATTTGTGGTCATCTCAGGGAAAGTAATAAACTTGTAATACATGAGAAGTGAGCAGAACCTGAACTCATCTTGGATCTAATCCAAATTGAATCTTTCTTTAATTCTTAGCATATAGGGGTAAATTTAGATAAGATGAATATTTTACTTTTTTATTTTTGTTTTTTTATTTCTATAGGTTATTGGAGAACAGGTGGTATTTGGTTATATGGGTTTTTTTGTTTGTTTGTTTTTGTTTTTTTGAGACAAGGTCTTACTCTATCGCCCAAGCTAGAGTGCAGTGGCATGATCTTGGCTCACTGCAACCTTCGCCTCCTGGGTTCAAGCGAGTCTCCTGCCTCAGCCTCTCTAGTAGCTGGGATTACAGGCACCCACCATCACATCCAGCTAAGTTTTGTATTTTTAGTAGAGATGGAGTTTTACCATGTTGGCCAGGCTGGTCTTTAACTCCCGACCTGAGGTGATCCACTGGCCTCGGCCTCCCATAGTGCTGGGATTACAGGATTGAGCCACCACGCCCGGCCTACACGGGTAAGTTCTTTAGTGGTGACTTGTGAGATTTTGATGCACCTGTCACCCAAGCAGTATACATAGCACCCTATTTGTAGTCTTTGTTCCTTACCCCATTTCCACCCTTTCTCCCGTGTCCCCAAAGTCCATTGTGTCATTCTGATGCGTTTGCGTCCTCATAGCTTAGCTCCCACTTATGAGTGAGAATATACAATGTTTGATTTTCCATTCCTGAGTTACTTTACTTCGAATAAGAGTCTCCAATCTCATACAGGTAGCAGCAAATGCTATTAATTATTCCTTTTTATGGCTGAGTAGTAATCCATCATATATATATATCACAGTTTCTTTATCTGCTTGTTAACTGATAGGCATTTGGGCTGGTTCCACATTTCTGCAATTGTCAGTTGTGCTGAAGATTTTAAAACATGTTTTTAATCTCTAAGAATTCCCAAAATCAAACTAAAAAAGAACGCTAATTCCTCAAACAACTCTTCCCAAACTGAAATATTAATAGTTCCTATACTTACATGTACAGTTATTGCTTAGTGATGCTTATTACAAACACACTCAGCCTCCAGGATAGTAAGTAAAGTACCAGAAAAGAAACAGAAAAACAATGTTTTTCTCCCTGCAGATTACTTGCCATACAAATCATTCTTTTTATTCCCTTAAAATGGTAAGGAGCCTATTAACTCAATCCCTTGTTTTTCCCAGTATAAATAAAGTATTTGCTCTGCACATTGTGGCATCTCAAGATTTCTGATTACAGGCTGAAAGTCAAATCAAAATAATTCTTTCAAATAAAACTCAATTAACTCATGCAGCAGGCAGTTTTCAAATTTAGTAACAACCTATAATACAGAAGCCAAATACCTGCTGGAATCCAGGGAAGGATTTAAAAAAAATAACAGCTTTATTGGTATATAATTCATATACCATAAGTTTACTCATTTTAAGTGTATGATTCAGCAATTTCTAGAGTATTTACAAAGCTGTATATTAATCACTATTATCTAACTCCAGAACAGTTTTGCCCTCCTCCCTACCCCAAACACCCATACACATTAGCCATTTCTTCCCTTCTCCCAGCTGTGGGGAGAATTCCTTTTCTATGGATTTGCCTATTCTGAATACATCACATAAATGGGAATCATACACTATGTGGTCTTTTATGTCTAGCTCCTTCTACTTAACATAATGTTTTCAAGTCTTAGCCATGTTGAAGCATCAGTACTTCATTTCTTTTTATGGTTAAATAATATTCCATGGTCCAGATATATCACGTTTTATTTATCCATTCATCGGCCGATAGATATTTGGGCTATTTCTACTTTTTTGCTGTTGTGAATAATGTTACTATGAACATCTGTGTACAAGTCTTTGTGTGAATTGGTATTTTCACTTCTCTTGAGATACACCTAAGAGTGGCATCGCTGGGTCACAGAATGACTCTATGCTTAACTTTTTGAGGAACTGCCAAACTGTTTTCTAAGCAGCTGCGCCAGTTTTCATTCCCACCAGCATTGTATGAGGGTTCCAATTTCTCCTAATCCTTGCCAACATTTGTTATTGTCTTTTTTATTATAGCCATCCTAGTGGGTGTCAAGAGGTATCTCATTGTGGTTTTGATTTTTATTTCCCTAATGACTAATAATGTTGGGAATCTTTTCATGTGCAGGGAGGATTTTCATTCCTTTATACAGTAGTCACAATAGAGCCTACCGGATAGCATTTGTCAGATGGGGAATTACTTTTTGTGCTAAAGGAGTTTTCCAAAATGTTTATAACTACGATTTATTAGTCTGGTGAAGCCTTTTAGTTCTTCTTTTGAGAGGCGCTTAAGATCATCTTTTCATAGGAATGAGAATCGAAGAAGTCTGGGAGAGAAAGAATTGTCATTTCACACAGTGCTATGGGGAGCTGCAGACATGGATTCTGAACTTGGATGTTTTAAGAGTAGGCTTGTGAACATGGTCTTATTCCAGGCATCGACGAACTTCTGCCCCAGACAAAGGCTATTTCTTTACCCTCTGAACATCGATAAAAGTTTTGAAAAATTGAAAATAACCTAGCATCTGACAGTGATGACCCCAGTGGTCAAAATGTACAAGCATGTAAAGCCATCAGCCCAATTACTGGACATAACCCTCTAGAGGCAAATCAGTCCTTGAACCTTTTTTTGTGGCACTGTAAGTAGTTGATCCTTTTCTAGGTAAATAATATTTAATGGAAAAGAATAAAATGGACCCTTCCAAATACATCCAGAAAATAATCACAAATTTACCCACTATTACAATTACTTCTTTTGGGAAACGGCAAAGCGAACACCCCACATTCAATCTCTGAATATATGTTCCTCCTTTGGTTTTCCCAATGTTAGAGAATGCCTTTTCTTGGAATAAGTCTTACACAGATGTTATACATAAAGGTCTTACATATGATATGTGTAATCCAGTGTTTCTCAGTTTATCTTAGTTGTCTAAGTTCAAATGGATACAATATTTACATATTGCAAAGTCAAACATTATGAGCTCAAGATAACTGTTAGCCTCTAATGTATTAAAATTGCATACTGATGATAATTATTTATAGTCTATAAACAGATAACACTGTGTTAACAAAAGGAATCTATTTCAAACAACAGTTTCCCCAACAAGGAATTCAAGAAATACAGGTTAGCAACCACTGCTTTAAACCTCTAAACTGGAACTAGTGTAAATGATCACACTGCCCACTGCCTGGGGACCCCCATCTCTGTCTCTTCTCTTTCACAAACACACATGTACATGCATGCACACAAACACACACACACAGCTTGATTTCTCCTCTCATCAACTTGAGTTTCCTGCTGACATCATGATTAGATTACTAATAATTAACAACTGTTTTATTATTTATCAAGGACCAAGTACCATAATGTGATAGGGACTATAGTGCACACATAACCAGATCATTAGTCCTGATCTCTGCCCAGTAGGGATATAATCTAAGTTAATTGAGATCTCCTAGTCTGAAAAGCTAATTCCCACTAAAAGGTTTAGAACACTATCACCACCAAGCCGCGTTTGCTAATGACAGAAAAAGTCTGAGTGACCCGCCAGATGGAGGCGGCTGTCCTTAATCCCCTCAAGCAGGTGATTCAGCTCTTTCACTGAGCCAAGGCTCAGAAAAGGTCAGGGATTTATTAGCAATTTCTGTATCCTTATAATCTCCAGCAATAACCTCTCATTAAATATCTACTAGGCTTGCATTAGTCCCTTAATTTGACTTGCGATGAGTTGTCGCAGGACCTGTGGCTCCCAGGCCCGACATCCACCATCCTGCAGTTGAGGCTTCGGCTGGTTTACTTCCCTCCCTCAGCCTCAGGTTCAGCTCTGCTCAGTGTACACACGAGGCCGCCCAAACAGTTGTCTCATCATGAATCTCGGCAGAGCCTGCACCAAATATCCAGGTTGGCCTCCCAGG